TCTTCAAATACCTGGAATATCTGACTTCCATGAAATCAAAGACGTAAAAAGGAATTTCATGCACACCATAATTAAAAATTTTGAAAGCGTAACAAAAGGAAGTAGCCGAACTGACTTCTACTCCTAAGCCTGCAGCATGTTCAAAGAATCCTAAAGCGGCGAACAGAAAAATAACTCACTGCTTTCAAACCTTGCTGTGTCAAAGCACTACATTCAAGATATTTGACGGCTCTGATTCGCTTTGCAACTTTTTGTCCCTGGTTTTTGCTGACTGGCTGTTTGCCATCTGCATTCAGCTGCCTCAGAGTCTCTGGGTCGTCCCGTAAATCCAGCTTGGTTCCTAGAAATTAATTTGTCTCTTTTGTGGAGAACAAATGTATGAATCAAGGTACTAAGTTTAGCATCATTTTTAACTTATGTCTCGAACTTCTTTAAGCGTCACAATGCAACTAATATATAATGTTAACCTATCAAAAGGATTGGTGCATCCGGGCAGTTATGTCGTATTTCTGGTATCCATTTAGTTAACACATTATCAAAAGAAACCGGGGCGACTATGCTGAAGCATAACACAAAGACATCAGTCTGTGGGTAACTCAGAGGCCGCAGACGGTCGTAATCTTCCTGAAAATATTATGTGCTATTTTCAGAGTTTGTTTATAAAACATTAAAAATCAGAAACATCGTTTCAAAGAGAAATATAAGAAACGGAAGTGAATTACTTGTCCAGCGGTATCCCATAAACCTAAATTAACAGGATACCCGTCTACTGTCATCTGTGCCGAAAAATTATCGAATCTGAAAAAGTTTCTTAAAAAAAATGATATAAAATAACAGCAACAAGTTTCTAAATTTTTTCAGTGTATTCATAATCATAATGCTTTACTGACCTATATTGTTTCCGTCTTGTTTTTATACTATCCGATAATGTGAAATAAGGCTCAGGAGTATATTTATAAAATCGTTTACCAACATCCAGGTCTCAACATAATAAGCATTATTCTTAAAAAGAAAAGAAAAAAAAAAACTATGATTACTCTGAACCAGCCATAAGGTGTGAACGCTGACAAACAAAAATCTTGTGATGTGTATTAGCAGAACAAGAATTTATATATAATGAAGAAGCTAACACAGTAGGAACATATTCGACTGGAAAAGAATCCGTCGTGTACGATATCAACATACATGTTTTACCAACGGTACCATCACCAACCACAACACATTTGATTTGGCGTGAAGGAGCAGACATTAACGATATAAAATTGCTACCAGATTGTCGCCGTTTCCGGATAAAACATGCAGTCCAGAATCGAAAGGGATACCTCCTATAAATATTCAACAATCTCAAAAATGCTGAATGTGGAGTTGTTGCTGAAGAATTGATAACATCCCAAAAATGATGACCATATAATATGTTCTTTCTCCAAGCACAACGTCCCATGAGTCTCGGTCTTTTTTCTCCCATCAACCAGCACTATCAAACTAATATACAGCTACAAAATACAATAAGGGATTCAATCTCGCTATGAAAAATTAGGTTTTATTGGTTGCCAGTGGTTGTGGTGGTGGTGATATTCTGACAAAGAACTGCCAGCGATACTATGTCGTGTCCAGTGTCCAGCTCCCTGTTCCTCTCTTTTTTCTACTGAATCATCTCAAGAGTATTTCTGAGCACTTTTTCTTTCTCATCATAAATATATAATCGTTGAGGACAAAGTGTTCTGTTTGAAATGGTTCTTAATAAAATGTCTAGTTCACTGAGTGATTTTGATTAAGTCTTTAGAAAAGACTTAATGAAAGTACTTAAAAGGGCGAATATTTTTATGTCAGAAGCTGAAGGAATAGAAATGAACTGTTATATAATCAAGTATCATATGCTCAATGAGTCAATTATTGAACTTGAATCTCTTTCATATGTGATGAAATTTAATTATGAGGAAAAAAGCGATAAAATGAATCATTGAACACTGATGAACTGGAGTAATTGCTGAAGTATGTAAATATGACAGTTTGTATTTTCGGGTAGCTTTATTCCCACACGATTATGTAACCAAAGAGTGGTGAAGAATCAAAATTTGGTGATGCGTTTTGTTTATCAATCATGCATGATGATAAATGATGAGATCGGGAAAATTAAAAATTAATGGAAATGTTTCTTTTAACTTATTATTTGTGCTACTCAAAGTTACAAAAGCGGTTAGCATTGCTGAATAAGCATGAATTTAGATTCCTTTTTTGAGGGAAGGAAAAGACCATAGAATCTCGAATGTAATAACTTCAATTAGTCAAGAAGTACTGGCTGAAAAACCCGTGTAAACATTGTGTTTACATTTCATTCTCTTCTACAAAAATGTCTCAATGTGAAAAACAGAAGACATAAGATGTCACGAAAAACTGCAGCAACAAAAAAAGTGGCCACAAACGCATGACGAGGCAATTGCTAACAATTGTCGATCCCTCATTCCAAAATTATTTAAACTTGGATAAACATTCATATGTAAGCATGGCTCTATATCAGTGTTTGATTAGTTGAATCATTTGTCATTTATTTTATATAATATTTGTTACTACTGTAAGCCAACGATAAATGCAGAAAATATTCTTGTTCAAATATTTTTGTAAGTTTCAAGACAAAGTTCTATTAAAATTTTCACTAAATCTCGAATCTCTAAAAATTTTTAGGATTTCTGAATTATTCATAACTAATGTGTTGCAGATAAAATAAAATTTCTAAGTATAAAAGAATGCTAAGCATCATTAAAGAAATTGTCATTCATGATAGTATGAATGGTAGCATTTAAAGCTGGATAAGAACTTAAATTTACGCATGGCTCCATGCTCATTAAATAATTACTTTTCTGAAATGTCCACATCTCAGTATACTATAGACTGTTAGTACCAATAAATATAACCGTCACGGATGTGAGTAATGCAGACCACAAGATACATCATAAATACTTTTCAGTCTATTGAATCTTAAAATGAAAAATCGTATTCAATACAAAAAAAAAAAAAAATAATACAAATTCGAAACAAAATGAAACTTCGAGCAGTTCCAATAGTGATGCAATCATTAGCTTATCGTCAAATAGTTCTCATCAAATGCTGGTTGTTTAATTGATGTAAAATACAGCGACACCTGATAGGTAGATGGTTTAATTACCTCGGGGAAGTTGCAAAATTAACAGTTGTACACTTCTTCTTCGCTGTAATATTCCATTACGAGTATAAATTTAATCAGTGCAGTTAACCACAGAGCACTGTATTATCTTAATTTTAATAAATCGATTTTACTGTAGTAGCATTAATAGTAAAAATAGTTGGAGTGAAAACAACTGTTAAAAATCAGTGGATAAGGGACTTCTTTGTCATTTGATAATCAAACCATCCACTATCAATTATATCAGGAAAATCATGAAATTTTGCTAAAGCTACAGGATATGAAAAATTATGAGTTACTTTCACAGAACAAGAAATTGTTTATAATGTATTTGATTCTATTACAACAAAATATTTGATCCTCTCCGTAACAAAAAAAGAACTATGAGAGAATAGATCAAAGAACTCGGTTAAATAAAAATTGGATTCTGATTTACAATAACAGGAAATAGGAAGTGGTAGAAGAAAGAGAGAGAGAAAGAGAGAATATTGAAAATCAGCGAATTTCTGAATTCCCTTTTAAAAATATTTTTTGACAAAACCAAAGAACTGAGCAGAGTTTGTAAAAAAAAAAGAGAGAGAAGAAAATAGTAAAAAAAATGAAAATGATGACTTTACAGCAAAAAAAGTAAGAGGAATCACAAACTTCAGAAGTAAAAAAAATTGTGCAGATGGCAAAAAAGGCTTTTCTGAATATGAGAAGTGTTAGAAAGAAAAATCGATCACAAATCACAGCCTTCATTTAACAAATCACTTGTCTCACTTTAATGACAAATTTAATTATATCAAATGTAACAGTTTTGAAAGAAATTAATGATTCGATGTCAGCTTGGAACTTTGCATAAGAAATCCAGCTTTATCACAATCGATCAATAAATAATATACTTAATGTTTAGCATTTCTTTGGAAATGCTTTCCACGGAGACATCTGCTGACGAGAAAAAGAAGAGCGTAAATAATGAAAAATATTTAAAAATCACAATTATTTTGAAAACGTTCGGATCAGTAGGCGGTTTTAAAGTACGCCTTCTCCGTTTATTCGGCAACGTTTACGCTTTGGTGACAATACAAGATGAGAAGAATTAATGAGTGAAAGGAATGTATCTTGAAATAGATAATTTAATTAAATTGTTAAAGCACTTAACAGAAAGGACTAAAGATTTGATCTTCTTAACAAAAATTCTGCATGAATATAATCATTTTATGAATATAATCCTTAAAAACTTTTTAAAGGCATGTCAGGAGAACGTTGTGATGCAACAAGATTTCTGCTAAAAAAGTGCATTTATGTTAGTTGCATTAATTTATTTTAAATGTATGGCATTTTTACTTAAAGGTAAGGGATAAAATATGACAAGTAAAATGAAGATGAAGTCATGTATCCGTGATCAAGTTGTTGACGCTGAGATATCCTAAATGAATTATGACAAAACAGTATGAAATAGAGGACAGATTAAATTAGGCAACAAATTAAAAGAGATAAATATTATTACTATAAGGGCGCAATTAAATTAGTATCAGTGATAGAACTAGTAGTTAATTTTTCATAAACTGACAACAGCACCCAATTTCGTCAAGTAATCAAGAGCTGGAATTTAATCTAATATTTATGATAGAAGAATGTTTATATATAGGAAGAGATTGACGGAAGGAAGCATTCCTTTTTGATGTGCCACGGATGACAACCTCTAACTTTCATTGAATTCAGGAACTTTTCCCTTGAATAAACAATAATAAAAATAAGAAAATATTAGCAAGCTTAATTCCGAAATTTCAACAGGTCCTTTATCATAAATTTCAAATTGCTTTTCTGTTTCCTGAAATTTTACTTTTTTTACAAGATGCCACCGCAGAAGAGTTTAATTGCCGAATTGTTGAAGAAACAAACGAAAGTGGAACACGAATTATCAGTGGATCCACACGCACAGGAAAGTTCCTACTATAATCTTGACCTGCACGTTGGCGTAAGTTAATTTCACGTCGATTAATCTTTTTTATTACTATTTAAACTAAGCATTTTCTTAAAATATTGTATTACTAAACTAAGCATTATAAGATCCAGAAGAAAGTTCGGATCCTCAAGGCATGAATCCTGATAGCAAAAACGATTTAATAGGTGCTTACAGGATGAGATTCGATTGCCACAATCAACTAATACTACTTTTTCAAGTACCAGTGACCAATTCTCCCCAACTTGTGCAGAAAACACTCAAAAGTAATATTTGAGACTTTTACGAGTTGATTATAATGAAGAGAACCACTTTAGATTTCAAACTGAACAAATCCGGCGACACTTTATCCCTCCTCTTCTTGAAGAATATTTCCAGACCACTTTATTTAAAAAAAAAAAATGGAGAATTAGTGTAGATAAGGAGATCATGAATTTCAGAATGAAAGCAAAAAACAAACACTTTGACTCTTAAGTTCAAAATTTCCAGAGCAGCAACTTCCAATTATGCTACTTCGGCAAACCATCAGTATAATACATATGAAAGGTTCTGATTTCAGAAATATTCACAGTACTGGGTTTAAGAAATTTGATTACTTCCTTTCACTCATTCTGAATCTAAGCAATATACATTGTTTTCTGAATATCTAGTCGATCAACTAACGAGTGGAACAATTTCGTCAAATGAAACTAGAGCAATTGTTATAACCAATACATTAAAAGGAAAAGCATTTAGAGAGGACAAAGAATATGCAACCTCGCTGAGAAAATACTTTCAAACTGTTAAGTGCAGTACTTTTTAATTTAGGACCATCTATCACTGTCCGCTAAGCAATACAAACATATTTTCCGAATTTCTGGAACTCAGTGATTCTGGTTCTGCAGAGCTACCCACTGGTGGTTCTCGTGATTCTCTGAACTCGCATAACGCATTCGAAATTTTTGCATGGAATCAAAGTAATTTTTTCTAGTGGAAGGAGTATGAGAATTCAACAGCTTTCCTTAACATGTATACATATATATTAATATATAATCAAATACTCCGATTCTAGAAAAGAAATGGGAGAATCCCGGGGAAACAAACACATATGGAATTGCAAGTGAATATTGCTACTGTTCGAACAATAGCCAAGCCTACTGATTTCACGATTTTCAGAATGCACCTTTATGAATTTTAAATACAATAAAATTTAATGAAACAGTCAAGAGATAAACAACGCATCTCTATAAACATAAAGAGATACACAGCGCCAAAGCTCCAATTTTGCGAAGTAGAAAAACATCGAAGTCTTTAGCAGCAATCTCCATATCGAAAAGAGAATCGCAACTGGAACAGTATTTTAAAAAGGGAAATTATCCGCTATTACAGACCTGACATTCCAATATCCGAATTTTGAAAGGTACTGCACAAACCTTTTACTTGTACCATATACAATTACAATGGGAATCATGTCTAAAGAAAAGAAAAGCTCATTCGTTATAGAAAATCGGCTAGACAAGGCCTCTTTGAGTGAAATTCAATTCAGGTATGCATATGTGGACATTAAATGTAGCATGTATGTAAGCACAAATGCAAGCAGTGTAATAGACAATCATAAGATAATATACAGTACACTGGATGAAACAATAAATATAATTAGCTTTTAAACAAACTATTTCAAAGTGACTGTTATCAAACTCGCAAAACACCACTTCAGAGACTGATTGCGACTTATTGGTGTTGTCTCCTGCATAGTTACAGGTTCTAGACAGTTTGTTTAAAAAGCATCTCTGCATCTATAATCAGCTTTCCTAGCTTCAGCTTATCCTTTCAAAGTGTAAAGGACAGCTGGAATATTCAATACCTAAATTTAAAGAATTAAGTCCTAAGTGAAAAAAAAATTTTTAACTCTAAAGGCCGCCACACAATAAGATAAAACCATTCGCCAAAAAACTGAACCGACATAAACATTATTCAGCTATTACACCATAATAATCATCATAAATGGAATAAAAATCTGAAATACAAACAGCTCCGCAACTTATATCTATAAATGGATTGTGTAAAAGAGTAACAAACTCGATGATAAATTGCTCTCACTGAATACACTGTGATGCAGTGACATAATTAATAACATTTTGCCCTTCCTGATGAATTAGACCATTAGCATATTGTTCTGGCACTAAATGAGTAGCACGATTAAGATTTTGATCCTGATTCTCTGTACGATAACTAACAATCATAGGTACTTCTTCGCTAACACCGTCTGAAAAAAATTAATAAAAAAGAGTAGAAAAGATAAAATTAATATATTGAGATTTCGGCAAATTTAAAATCATGACCAAAAAATTACATATACGACTATTCTTTCGCATAATTTCGACATTACAATTTTTAGGGAATTTTATGAAGTAAAAAATTTTGTACTTCACAATACATCAGAGCTTGTTACACAGTTCGAATTAATGGTCTAATCCAGGACTGTTTTGAATGGAATATGAAAAGAATTCGTTGTTAACACATAAAAAAAGAAATATTACTGAAAAAAATATGGAACAAAACAGAAGCAAATGGTGAAAAACTAACGTTGCTGAAGTTGTGCTACTTGCATATTAGCTGGATTATCATAATCGGGTAAGATACAACGTGATTCGGGAAGTAACACTTCGTCGCATTCCAACCGAACTGGAATTGCAGAAGCAATAGTGACTTCTCGGATAGGTCATAAAATGCAAAAATTTTCTGAATAATATCATACGAACATCAAGGTGCCAATTACATTTGTTACTTTTAAACTGTTACATTTGTAATACAATTAACATATCTAAAAAGCCATTAGTAGGAGAATTATACCTTGTGATGAAGCCTCATCCGGATTTACTGTAACTACTGACCTATCTATATCTGCTGCATGTCTCTGCTCCATCGCCCCATCGTTACCTGGAGAAAATAATGAAATCACATAATGCTAAAAGTAAAACATGATAAAACTGTAGTTAGTGACATAAAGAAAACTTGAAGGTTACTGTCCACGTGGCAATGTGGGTACAGAATATAATATGACTGAAAACGAGAAATCATGGAATGCAAGACAATTCCATTATACAGTTTTCATTACTTCGTGAATGTAAATAAACAATATCGCTTCTGATTTAAAAAAGGAAATCAAACTTTGTGTTATAGAATTAACAGCTGCGATGGTGTCCAGATCGGATTGCTGTAACTCCAGATTACGACTATCAATGTGCTGTAGCTGAGCATTAGCTGTAAGAGAAGTGCTATCATCAAGTGTTCTTGAAGGAACGGTGTGTGAACGTTGTGTTGCTGTTGTAACTGCGCATGGTGATGGTACAGCACGATGGGTTACTCGAAGTGGATGAACAGCCAATTGCTGTTGTTGCTGAACAGAACACGAATTTACTCCTGTCATTTCGGCTAAATTTATAAACGGTGCAACGGAAGCCGAAAATCCTTGACGCTGATTTGCGATAGAAAAGCGTGATGAACTGGTTAAAACCACAGGTCGGGGTGGAGGTCTGAAAAAAAAAAAAAAAAAAGAGTTGCGTTGCGATAACTGGATTTCTCCACTGTGTCAAACAGATTTTAAAAAAGCAGAAAAAAAAAATTTCAACTGTTTTTTGGTAAGATCAAATTGGAGAACTCCATGATTTAAAATATCAGAAGCATAATAACCTTCTAATGGCACGATACTGTTGTGGCTGACCAGATGCAGCAGCTTGAGCAACTAAACGTTGAATTTCGCTCGAAGTTATAGTTTGTGGTTGTAAATGACAAGCAGATGATGTACTTGGTCCAGATGATATGGTATAGGAGGAACGGGGTGAACATGATGATATTGAACGCATGAATCCCACAACGGTATTTGGATTGCCGTAATAAGGTCGAGTTGGGTTACTGTAGGTTGATACTATTGGTGATGCATAAAAACGTTGTCCACTGGATGACCTACAGAACAGAGCATAATATGGAAGATATGATACAATACTGCAATAAAAAGAGCTTTTTACACTATAAAGATTACACATAAGGATGTCTCAAGAAAGTGATATAAAGCAATACTAAGCTTGTGATTCACCTACGGATTATCTGAATCATTCGCTTTCTGATCCCTTATTTTATAACAACAAGAAGTTACTAGGAATAGCAAAGAAAGTCTTGCTCACAAAAGAAAACCTAACATTTCTACCAATATTTCTTATGGTACGAATACGGCGTAGATTCCCACCATAAAAATGGAGTGATTTTCGGTTATAACAGTTAAAATTATCTGTAAGACGGTGCCCAACATTCAGAATTATGACCATAATACTACAATACAAACCTTATATACGCTCGCTGTACTGGCTGCTGTATCCTAAACACATTCTGGGAATTGGATAGCTGTCGAGAAAAAGTAGAACTTCCATCTAAGACTGCAGATTCATTCCCTCCAGACGACAAGGTTCGGGTACGTTTTATAACCACACCTAAATAAAATGCAACGTTTTGCTTCTTAATATTTATATATTATGCTGAATATTTAAACCACAATCAATATATCTAAGCTGTATAATTTTATGCTTAGATATATTGATTATACAGGAATTATGCAACATATAAAAGCAGGATTTAAGTCTTAGGTGTAAATGTTTAAGTGATCTGAACTGTGGAACACTAAATTTAATTATATTTAGTCATGAAAAATAAAGATAACTGCTCTTCCCTTCCAATTGTCTGTCCATCATTGTAGAACTTGTCAAATCTGCATAAATCTGCAGCACCTTCCTTATAAAAACGCAGCTGTTTTAGTCGAACAAACATTTTAATGTGTTTAAACCTGAGGTAAACAAGTGAGGGATTTGATGAAATCTTCCGGAATTGCTAGTGGCGGAACTCGTGGGTATAGTACGAAATGCTGACAGTGCTGTCGTATGAGAGGAGTGAGTACCAATGATTGATGAAGTGACTGGCAGAGACGATGTAGATGTGAAACTTGAGATGCCTGATGGTGATGTTTGTCTTGGTGGTCTAGAATGAGTGGAAATGAAAAACTTAATTTGACATTTTTCAAGTGTCATGTATTAAGTTAGAAATATGTCATTTTTTTATCTCAAACCTTTAACTTCAGTTTAATTTTTGACCCAGTGAAGATCAGCTGTTAATGATATGATATCATTTACAAATATGATTCATAAAATAACAGCCCAGACTGCAACGAAACAGATTTAAAATCAAATTCAAAACATCAACTATGGTTGATAATTCAAGCTCAGCACGACTTAATCCTCAAAAAATGTTCATGGTTAAGGATTAAGTTTTGCACTAAACAAACCTTCGATCAGGATTCCCGCGAATGGGTTTACTTTTCTGTCCCGGAGCTGGCGACTGAAACCTGAATGGTAGCACTCTCGCACACGTAGCAGATAAATCGCGCTAAAAAAAAAGGTTTTTAAACTTACTGTAGGAAAGAAAAAACCGGAAAATGTAAAAGACATAAGAAAGTGAAATCCCGGAATGAGGCAAATATAGAAAAAAAAAACGCAAAAAGAAATATAAGCGAATAAAATCTACGAATAGTTCTATTCATAGTCACATTACTCTCTGAACCGAGTTATGCTTACCTTTTTTTCGCCTTTATTAATTCTTAATCTCACATCAGTTAATAAAATTTATAATACTTGCCATTCAGAAAAAAAAAAAAAAAAATGATGCATTTCTCTGACTTTATTTCTTCTCAGTTTCCAATAACACTTTTTTTTTTGAAAAGGAATCTTAAAACTACAAAGGTAATGGATTTTTATTTCATCTTTGTAATGAAGCATTAGAAAGTGAATGTCACCTGTCTTACCCGCCGTTTTTTAGGTCTCAAATATTCTCCAGTTATCTCTGAATCGAAATCTTCTTCATCTGCAACAAACAACTAATACCATCCAACTTTAAGAAAATGTTCAATTAAAAAAAAAAAAATCATGAGTTAAGGATAGAAACAGATTCAACGCACTCTTTTGCACTGATTAGCAGAATGTAGATAGAATTCTAATAAGAAACAAGGATGAAAATCGGAAAGCAAAAATAATCCATAAGCTACGATAAAATAACAAAACATATATCATGCTAAAAAAAAAATACAAACAACCTTGGAGACCACACTTCGATATAAGAACACCTTGATCAGCAGAAGCAACAACTGGGGTTGAACTGGAACTTGAGGATGGGCAGGATGTCGTCAATTCAAGAGAACTTGGACGTGCTGTACTTGTTGACGGCATCATGTCGTAGTAAAGAGTTGTTTTTTGGTTTGAATTAGCAACATATAATTCCTCTGCATTCTGAGTATTTTTTTTGAACTGTTGAGTTTCATCAAACGGCTAAAAACTCGTACTATATATACTAATAAATTAAAATAATGAGAATTTTATGTTTTTTAAGTCAAAAATATTAGCAAAATCTCGAGAAAAAATACCTTGCGAATTATTTAAGACACCTTAAAATACTTATAATTACTAAAGTCGAATAACACTAGATAATAAAAGATAGTCCGAGTCTCTTTTAAGTGGCACACAATGCAAAAATAGTCAGTTACATCTACAGACGAAAAGTTATCAAATAAATTACACCTGCTCAATACCAAAAAGTCTTAGGTTCTATGTGACTTATATGAAATGGAAGTTTAACAACCAATGTTTCAGATTTGATGAGACCAGAGGTTATGCGAGAATTTCGTGCACTACTCTCATATTCGCCAGAATGCAGTATATCAACACGTCCCTCATAATCGTTCTCCGTTTCACGCAACAATAAGCGCAGCCTTTCCGGAACTATAACATAATACATTTCGGAAAAGATAAATGAAGTCTAAAAACGGTAAAAAATGCTAAAATTCAAGTGAGCGAATTTCAAAGAGAGAAGTCAGTGTTTATAATCTAACATATTTCGATTTACAAAGCACAAAACGATGAACCGGTATTGTAAGAACTTACCGTAAGGAGCTTTGGGCAATGTAATCATTTCATGCAATGCAGTATTTGCATCTCGCAACCTTTCATTATGTGTCTTTGCAAGTCTCAATAATTCATTTGCAACATTTTGGTCTTCATTACTGTTATCATCAATATCCTCTTGAATGGGAATCTCAAAACAATAAGTAATGACAAATAATAATTTTTTCACGGTACTAATCACAAATGCTGAATTTGACTAATATTTTATATTCAGAAGACAGATTTCTGTGAGCATGAAAATAAATTAAAGTCAAAACAACGTATCTCGAAAGGAAATTATGCATCACATAATCATTAGTTTTAAAACTCACGTCGCCATAATGTGGTATCGGATCCAATCCTTCGATTCCCCACTGCGCATATGTATCATACGACGGGCTTAAACTATAAGAAAAACAATTTGGCAGAATTTGTAGCTCTTCATCATAAATTCGACTTAATACTGAGAAACATTTAACTAATATATCCCTTCCATTCACAATAGAAAACAAGACAATAAGCACAAAACTGAGAATTCTTCACTGATTTTACAAATAAACGGATAAATTTAGAAGACCAAAAGATATACGTTTGCGCTATTTTCGTCAACATTTCATCATTAGCTGCTTGTCGTATTTCAGCGTGATAGGACTCGTCAGATATGCTATAAAATTACTTCATAACCAAATATTCGTGGAAAGAAAAATTATATATTGCCATAGCCCTACAAACACATGCCATCTTATACTAAGCAGTACCATGAAATAATTAGGCATTAAACAGACCAATAAAAAACTGGATTAAGTATGAATACGTACAATAAAGCTGTCTTCAAATGTTCGAGTAGAATCCTTTTGTAACCATTCAGCATTCCCTGAGCACGGAAAGCGGAAACAACCGTCGAGAAAGCGTCCTTCTCTGAAATCTAACACATTAATGAATTTGATACTTTATTTGCAATCAATCACCAAAAGCTTGAATAATAACAAAGTCATCATAAATATCATATATCAAAACTCACCGAGTACACGTAGCATATAACTACAGTCTTCCTCATCATAAGTATTATTCCTCACTGTAACCCTCTCTTTGGTAAGTTTTTCATTCACAGTAATAGTTTCATTCTTTTCCTGTTCCTTAGTTGCTGTCCTGATCCTTGAAGACACTCGAAATTTTTGCTGATCCATTACCACAGCATTTTTTAATCCCAAGCAATCCTGAACAGAATAACATATTTTAATGGATGAATAGCAAGTATAAAGGAACGACCGTTGCTTCATTTCGAAAACCAATTCAATTAATCCCATCTAAAAACACCAACAGAATGACTTTGATGGATACTGATGGGATCAATATTGGTAGTTCAGCAAAAATGTACTGAGATGGAAGAAATATTAGGAAAAGGAACTATTTCGAGCTTTAAAGAACCGTCTAACAACAGAGAGATGTCTTCTAGAAATGTTCAGTGATTCCAGAATGCATTTGTAGAACAACTCACGTTAAGATAATATGTCTGACATAAAAGATAGAATGGACTCGCTAGGTCTGTTTCATATTCATCCTTATTTATTTCTTACTAATCCTCTCCTCTCTCCTATTCTGAAATATATGACAAGATGAAAGAGTAAGTTAACAAAACAGAAAATGATTCCAAAGATTGCAACAATTCCCAAACTTCACTCTTTTTCTTGTTTCTCACAATGAACCAAGACCACGTCTCAAGTGGAGCTAAGAACGGGACAAACGAAAAAAGCATACATAATAAGAACGGGGTAAGATAAGTAATTCATGCGCCCATTCAGATGAACAGTTGGAACAGATGGTAGAGGGAGGAGTGCACAATCGCACATCTCTCTCTCTCTTTACCTCCGTCTTCTCCCTTAGAAAAAGAGGCATTGAGGTCATCCCGTGGATTCATCATACGTTTTGAATTCTCAAACCTTGCCAATCAGTGTTACAAACAAAGAGACAGTTCAGTATTCAGTGCTACTGTTGCTTCATTTCAGTCTCCCCATTCCTATCAACCTGTTAACTAGTTCTATAATTAGTGGATCGTACCTTTAAGACATAGACGAAAGGTTAAGGTTCATTACCTCCATCCAACAATTTTAATAAAGTCATGTAATTGAACAAATACAAGGACTGACGCCAATCATCGGAAAAAACTAGATTAAGTAGCCGTACGGCACGCACATTTGCAATCCTTCACTATCACACAAAATTTGATTGAGATTTAGGAAATAGTGATAAATAGTCGAGGTAAAAGTATCCCTCGCACCCTGAAAGCTTCAGTTCTGCTATAAGCTAAAGGTATAACTTGCCGCACCTTCCCTCAGTCTACCTTGCTCACCTTACTGAATTCCTAAAATTTGAATATGGCGCGTCCTAAGGGAGCTAAACTGTGTCCCATTGCGAACTGCTTCGTCCCAAACAGGACATGTTGCGTGGCGGTGTGCGTTGCGGTCATAGGGAGATTTGGGTTGCTTGTAGAGATCTCTTCTCTTTATGGCGGTATAATGCGCTCGAGTGAGGTGCAGAGTCGGACTGTAACTCACTGTCATGTTATAATTAAGTGTTGAGTGTTGCGTCTTCGTCAAACTGAACTGGAAATGGTAACCATATGGGTTAAGTAAATTAGGCTGAGAAAGAGTTGTCATTATAAATTATGAGGAGTTCCAATTCTACATTCGTCTTTACTAGAGCATTTATCATACCTTTCTTACACTTGGGCTATAATGCTGAAGGATCTACCATCATCGAAAGTGAAAAATTATTTTTTCAACTTTTTTGACAATGGTTTCTTCAGTTTTTCCATATCATATGGTGTCTGCAAAACTTCCAATATATAATATGTTATTCACTCCTGTTTTAGGCTGCTGTGATATTTAGTTTTCATCAACCGCTATAGAAGCACGTCATAATGAGGTATGTTTCAGCATTACGTTAATTGGCTAAACTCCATTAATTGATCCGAGGTTTTAAAAAAACGTTAGTTGGGTAGGAGGATGAACTCAGTAAGTCATAATAACATTGTAGTAACAAAAGTTTCAGTGCGTAGAAGTTACAAGAATTGAAGGTCAAGCATAGGGTTTTTTAATTTTATTAGTTATTAGTTTCTCCATTTCATTAGTTCATACAAGATTGGGAACAAAGTAGTTCATTTTTTGTAGTGGACTGCGGCTTCAGAAAAGATTGGCCTCAGATGTATTAAAGTGTGGTAAGAAAAAAGTGTGGTTGGATCCAAATGAAATCAATGAAATTTCCAACGCCAATTCGCGGCAGAACATCAGACGACTTGTCAAAGATGGTTTGATAATTCGTAAGCCAGTTGCAGTACATTCACGATATCGTGCTCGTAAAAACCTGGAGGCTCGCAGAAAGGTTTGTTACGCGTCTCATGTTTGCATTTTTTAAGCACCTTAGGAAACTCGAACATAGAGGAAATTGGCCGAAACTCTTCTGTAACATTCTTTTTCATTTCTATGTTATTATAGGGTCGTCATATGGGTCACGGAAAGAGGCGTGGTACACAGAATGCACGTATGCCGGAAAAGATTTTGTGGATCCGTCGAATGCGCGTTCTTCGTCACCTGTTGAAGCGCTATCGTGAAGCAAAGAAGATTGACAAACATCTGTCAGTTATTAATTTTTTTTTTCATTATTTTATGCTAAATTTTGTATGTATGTCACAAATGACACTTTTTACTTTTAATTTGCTTCATATTATCCATATACTTTTACAGGTATCACGACCTTTACCTTCGAGCGAAGGGTAATGCATTCAAAAACAAGCGCAATTTAATGGAATTCATTTTCAAGAGAAAGACTGAAAATGCACGCTCCAAACAATTAGCGTATGTTTTGAAGCGGTTTTTGTCTTGTGTTGTCTCTTCACGTGATGTGAAAAAACTTAGGTGTGCCATAAAATTGAGATGTTTTTGAAATTTAAGAATGGTCAGTTCGATGGTTTAAGAGTTCCAGAAAACACAAGTAATGTTTGCTCAGAAAATCTGCTTTAATGTAATTTAACGATTGTAGGGAACAAGCAGAAGCACGCCGTGCCAAGAACAAAGAATCCAGAAAACGACGTGAGCAACGTTTAGTATTGAAAAGAGCAGAAGCTTTGCGCAAAATCTCGGAGAATGAGAAAGAAGCAGTCGCTAGTAAGGAAACAAAAGAGTCGAAACTAGTGGAGAAGTGAAGCGGTAAATTACACGTTTATTTGGATACGCAAAGTTGTAAGCATAATTGGTTCCTTGTTATTAAATATCTTTGCGATAAATCCTGTTGTTTTCTTGCTCGCAAATGACTGAAGTTGTTGAGTATCATATGTCAGCTTTAGTCGTGTTTATAATTTATAGATTCACCAAAGCAGTTGAATATTAGGATATTATATAGGTATAAGGATAGGCTTTAGAAGTCAGATTAGTGTTTCCTGTAGATTTTTCTACCTAATGAACTTGGAACTGGAAAAGAAAAGTGAAGTAGGCTTGCTGACAGACTATGGAAAAGAAGGGAAATTTAGCGATGTAATGGGTAATATATATGTGTGGGATATGAGGTACCAAATAAATTTGATTTGTTGCAACAGCTAGCAGTTGATTAACAGACATTCTTACTCAGAACTTATCGTTGGGAGTGATTATACGCAGGTAATTTTAGGGTGTTATACCCTGTCTGATCTCTTCAGTGCTCTCCGTACCTTTTTCTGTCGCTTGTCTTGGCATAGGAAGTGGTCGAGTCGATGGTGACGATGAGGCATGTGACATCATTGATTGGGAGATATTTGATGGTCCTGGTTTAGTTTCGGGCTCAGAGATTTCTTTAGATTTAGTGACTGGATCTTCTAGTTTTTTCTCAACTTGAACCTGAAAAGAAAGGAGTGGGATTGCCGATTGTCAACGTTATTACAAAATCAGTTTTAATGAGAAGGAAATAGTGGCTTAACATTACTACACTGAGGTAGTATTTCATTTTCATTAATTGTTTTGTGGATGGAATTAACCTGTTCATCAAATGTCTTCGTGAAGTCAGGCAGGGGACATTCTGAAATCCTGTATAACGATGATGGTGTCACATCGTAACCATATTTCTTCATATCTTTGAGTACAATATCCATAGTTACGGTGATGATTCCTTGGCTCCTCACTTTTGTAACTTCAAATTTATCACCACTTAGAATGATCAGAAGATTAGAAAAGACAGAACAATTTCCAGTTTTTGAAACATTGTGAACTAATCACTGTTTTCAAAAAGTTTTTGTAAATTTTTTACCTTGTCGGCCATCTGCCGTTGCAGGGATTGTCGAATCCACAAATTCAGCTCTCTTCCCAGTAAGCCATCCAATAAAACGTTGCAATAATGTAGAAGCCTCCGGCACAAACAATATTATCCTTTTTACCGATCTAAAGTTTGTATTCGGAGACAGATTTGAAATTTCCAGGGGAACATTTATTTAACAGAACTATGTTATGTGGTGTCATATTTTCAAAAGTTATTGGTACGGAAAGCTATCGATCAGAGGGAGAGAGATTCAATTATGAGAGAAGCAGGAAGCACGATAGTACTTTATTAAAATTGTTATGAATAAGCATCACATAATATGAAATACTGGACATCGAATTCTAACAAAAAATATTACCTCCCTGGAACGGTTGGAATATGTACAGCTCCATAGCCACAAACAACATCATTGCCAAAGAAATCGGACCCGTAACAGGTGAGTACAATTTGCGGCCCTGCAGAAATTATCATTTCTTCATAGATAACGTTCATTTAGATCGGTTACTCAAAGGGATGTAAAATATAATGTAAAGGCAAATAAACGTGCTGCAGAAATTGACTTATTCTATGCATTTTATAACTTGTTATGAAGCATCACGTAAATCAGAATATTTAAATTAAGAATAAATTTGTATTTCAGACTGTGCGAACTAGCTCAGCTAACTTTCAATTATTTTCACGAAAAGAAAAAGAAAGACGAATTATAATCAGCATTGTAGTTAATCTAAAAGTTTCTTGCTATTATGGTCCATAATTTACGGTCTTAAGCAACTACTCTTTAGGTCCTATATTCTAATTTGGTAGTAAATAAAAGATTTGAAATTTTATAAAACTTTAAAATAAACTAAGCAAAAACTCACAACCAAATGGACTGGTTGAGGTAAAGGTGGCTTCAATGGGCATAGCAATAGTTATTTCAGCATTTCCGAAACGTTGACGTTCACATCGTGCACTAAGTCCTTCATGAACACCACCAACTTGTTTCCAGTCAATACCATATACATATGAGTATTTGCAGTAAAAATTATCAAAGGAGAGAAACTACAATTTACAATTGTAATTCGAGAGTTAAAAAACAGCTTCAAATTTAAGTAAATGATGACAAAATTGACAAAACATTTGCACTAATTACAACTATAATTAGTAATACAATCCCAGTTGGATTAACAAAAACTTTCATTCTGCAGATCTAAGAATCTCTGATTATTTGAAAGTTTATTAAAATTTTAAAAGTCTCCTTTTCCACCTCTTATTGAAGGAGAGATAGAAATCGCAAAGATTCTGCGGAAGTATTTGTAAACGTTAAATCAAGAAATCTAGAAAAAAAAATAAATAGTGACAATGTTTTATTTTTATTTTATATTTAATAAGTATTAGATGAAGAAACCTCGGCGCTATCGATTTGTCCATTAAGTAGCACAATAAAATTTGACAATTTCGGTTGTTTGGCACTCATTCATCTGTATGAAATTGAAAATTATTCTCACAATGCAAAAAAGTTTTGAATAAATATACGGGAATATACTGTGATAGTGCACAAAGATTAATTTATTAATTTCATTAAAAGTAGCACGGAATATGAAACACTTTCGTTTGAGATTAAAAAGTGCTTGAAATGGTCATTTTAAAATATTTTAATCAATTAGGTTGGAGCACTAATTAAGTGGAAAATTTATACAAATTTAGGCAGTAGAGAAAATGACAATTAAAACAACTAAAAATTTTCATAAAGATGTACAGTGGAAAATTTTCCTGTCTCTGAGTTTAACCTATTTTTTGCTCCTTCTACTTCACTCATTTCTATATACTTAATTAAATCAGATTTCTTGCGGCAATTGGCAAAAGGAATTCTAACATCACCCAGTCAAAAGAACTCTTGAAATACTCTTTGATTCTAAAGTCGAAATTACGAAAATTTGGACTTTACTATTACATATGATATTTGGATTATAGCAACTGTGAAATGAACGAGATGACGAAGTAGACGTCACCATGGTGACATGCTTAACCAATCACCAAATCAACCAGTCTAGGATGTCCTTTCAATAGCTATAAGTGACCACTGAAATGGATAAGCAGTAATAAGCAGACCAACTATGATAATAAATCAATCGCATTCAATTCATAAGCGAAACAAGATTTGTATAATTGCTTGATAGTATTTATAACTCGAAAAATACAAAAGAGAAAAAAAAAGAATTGAGAAAGGTGAAAGAAAGAGATAGATGAACCATAAAAACATAAAACTATCATTCCTTATTTACAAATATATTTTGCCATAAATATTTAAAGTTCTCTACAAATATGTTAATTTACTTAGAAGCATTTTCATTGAATTTCAACAGGAGTAAGAAATTGTAGGTCATTATGCTACCTAGATCACGACTGTATTTATCAAATCAAGTCGTTGAGAAAGTTAACAAACTTTGGAGACTTCTGCCTCTCAAGTACATGTAACCAGCAACCGCATGAAACTGTCATGCGCTTAAGATTTGATAGAGACTTTATTGTAATTTAAATATTTTAAATTGGAAAGACGCAGAACTGCACAGTTTTCCATTTCTATTTCAAACCTTTTTCTTTTTTTCTAGAGTTTTGTGGATTGTGTTGAATTGTTAGCTACAAACTCTTTCGCTCCTAATTTTTTCTTCGAAAGGTTCAATCAAACTATTCGATTTACCTGCTTTTTTCTAAAATTGTCGATCTTTATTTCATTGCTGTTCGCACTTGACTTAATACTGACACTGACAAATTAATATTTAAATATCACTGCAGAATAATCACTCTTGAGATCATGCTAGGAAGTATGTAGCATGCATATGGAATAGTTGCGCGATCGGATTACTCGACTCTTTCCCTCTTTCCTCACCGCTTCTTCCTACGTCGTCGACCTCAACATCATCATTTTCAGAATCCAACTCTGCAATTCATTCTTTCTTTTCGTATGATTAATTGAAAATTGGATATTCTTTTCAATTTGCGCACAATACAAATGCATTAAAATAATTTTGGGATTTTTAACAGAATGTAAACATATAGACATTTGAATACCCAAAAAGTTTCCATAAAAAAACAATCTTCATTTTTAGGCACTCTATCTTCGTTAAAAGTTAGAATGACTTTGGCAATAATTGAAAGTGACATCATAGCTTCTTACTTGAAAATGTATCTCATGTAAATTACTTGAACAAAACTATTAAGGAAAAAATTATTGAAGCGACAAAGTTGTAATTTAATCATCCTCCAGTAATATTTTTCAAAGTTTAACTTCTATAAATCTTTTAAAATTCTAATTTTTCCTTTTTTTTTAGAAAGAATCTATTATTTATTTAAAACCTATTTACCGTCAGCAGAATCGCAGTTAGATTTTAGTTCATCGTTGGATTTAATATCAATTTCTGAACAAGCTGTTTCGTTTGCTTCTGATACTTCCTGTTTCCGCTGAATTTTCTTCATCTAAAGATTGTTAGTTTTTCTTGAAACTAATATTTCAATAGCGATCCAAATCAGCCTAAGAAGTGAGTTTGTATTTTCAAGCATTACATGAGCAAAAAGTAAAGATGCAAATACAATTATGACTTATTGTGCATCTAAATGCTTACTTTGGCACGTTGATTTTGAAACCAAACTTGGACAACTCGAACGCTTAAATTTGTTTCCTTTGCTAGTTGTTCACGTACCTATAATTAAGACTTTTGATGAATACATATTGCTCCGTTCTTTTTTCATCATTATCTTTTGCTTAAAAAAAGAGTAAGGCATTAATTAATTAGTGTAAAGTATTAATTAAAGTTTGAATTTAACCCTGAATTTAACCCTCTAGAACAAATGTAGAACTTTGACCTTTCGACATGGTTTTGATGTCTTTTCGAAAGCTAACTTGAAAGCTTTTCGCTGCTGAGTGTTTAAGATCGTTCTTGGCCTTTTCGGTGTCTTTCGATTCGAATCATTTTGATCGAAGTATACTAAATATACTTTAAATAATTGCAAAGACAATAGCACTTCTTTTTGCTCTGAGTCATAGTAAATAGAAATAACTAAATCAGTGAAAGCAAGGAAAAATATTAAATTTGATTTTAAATGTAAAAGCTTTTTTATAAAAAGCTAAACCAATGCTATCATTGAAGTCCGATTATATTAAAGAAACTCTTTGAAATATTCACAAAAGCAAAAATATGTGAATTTAGGCTGACTTGTCATCTTTTTTTCCTGTGTAATAGAAACAAACATTTTATTAAGAACATTCTAGACGTCTGACAATTTTCACGGACCTTCGAGATTATTCCTCTCAATAATTCTTATGCTGTTATTTCAAGTAAAGAATTTACAGTGGGATTGACATATCGGCGGTTGACACAACAAATGTTCGTAGTCAGGTCTGCAAATGATTTGTCCATCCACTAGTACGTAGTGGTCACCTTTTTTAAACAAATGACCACAACAAAAACATTTAAAACAGTGAAGGTGGTAAATGCTTGCAAACACTCGATAGACATAATCTGTAGACCGAACTGGTAAACCACATCGCATACATTTCACACCAAAAAGCCTGAAAATTCTGGTATTTTCTGTTTTTTAAACTTTAAAAGAAAGCCACTAAACACAATATATTGTGCTGCAGCATAGAACGCTTCGTTTTCTTTTATTAGAATTTTTCATAATTATTTTATCTTTCATTTTCTAATTTCTTCTGCAATGTTGAAAAACAGTGATATCAAAGCAGTAGCTCTGTTGACAGAAAAAAATGTAGCAGTTAATTAAGCTGACGACAGTAGCACTTTCTTTTTTCTCTCCCTGTAAGATCACAATTTATTTGCAGTGATTCTTTAACGTACATAAAATGAGCTTAGTCTTAAAAAGTTTTTTTTTTTTTTTTTTAATTTATTAAAATAATTGAAATGATCTGATAATTGAAATTTTTGAAAATTATTGAACAACATAAAATGTCTTTGGCATAAAGATCATTGAAATGTGTCGAAATATTTTAAAATTAATGTATCTTTAATATTAACTATCAATCGCAGATTTAAAATGTTGTCAGGAAGAGTCAAAGATCATATCTTAGCTGTTAATAACATTTTTGATGATATGTTCCACTGAATATGCAAAACTAATATGCAAGGAAAAAGGAAATGTCAGAGTTTTCTCTGGAAGTGTCCACATAACTACGGGAGGTGACACTTTTGTTACCTATTGAGTATTACTTAATCCGTAACGGAAGTTAAAATGATGCGCTAATGCTACGATATGAAAAGATATTACTGTAATGGAAATCGACTTCGGATACTCTGTAGGGAGGAAAAAGGACAATTTTTCAAATATTACTAATAAATGTGATATAAGTGATGTGCGAAATAGAAAACGATCTTCAGGCTATATTTGGCAGATGACCGGAACCGCAAAAGTGGCTAGTTGACCCGGTTGTAATGGCTTTCTAAGCGGCTTACATCATTAATTCGTGCCTATAAGAGTAGAGTATTTCAGCTGCTCTGTATGCCAACTATTTCGATACTATTGTGTCACAAAATTTTTTTTTCGCCTTTATTAAGCCTCATATTCACTTCGAGATATTTCGGGATCTATATATTAGAAAAACTAAATCCAGTGACCAGAAATTATGGTATTTATTTGTTTAACCTGACGAGGATTTAGATGATTAGTTGGCATTAAGGGACGACACGTTGACAACACGTCTATGCCTCCGAAATGACAATGATCGATCACTACCATTGGTAATTGGATGCTTCATTACTTCTGAGGATGACAACTAGAAATAGTTTGTGTGTTGTGATGCAATTAAGCTAGGTAAACTAGATAATTTCCTTGAAATATAACTCAGTAGTGAAAAAGATTTTTGTTAGAAAAAGCTCGAGTTTTCAATACATTTTGTTTGGAAAGTGAAAATGTGATTCTGAACTGTATATATCGGTATTGAATCGATAGCGCAACTTGTAAAGGAACATTCGTTAAACTTTAATTTTTACTCGCCAAGGTGTTTTATGATTGGAATAATGTGATACGTAATTCATTAGAGCATGATTTGCGATAGAACCGTATTTGTTTGGTTTCAATGGAAATTGATATTAGAAGAAATATTGGATGTGCTGTGGAAGAAATGAAGGAACATTGAGGTGCAATGAAATGATTGTCATTTCCTTCAAATGTCTTTTTGTAGATAATGGCTGGGATAAAATTAGTATAAAATGTCATGAGGAAGAGAATGGGGCTTAATCGGTGCTAAACAAATAAAGCTCATCGGAGAAGATCGCCTCAAGGAAAAGAGAGGTGCTAAGGATGATACATACAAATAGACGACAAGCGGAAGGGTTGCACTAGAAAGTAACGGATCAGATCTGAAGAGGGAAGACAATATCCGGATACCGTAAGCAATAGCAAGCAATTGTGGACACTTCATGATTGTGTGTTCGCACCTTCACCACTCCTTCCCTCTTCTCTGCATACTTCATAGACAGAAAAACAATTTCGTTATGAATTCTTATTGGAATTGCTTCCGAAAAAATGAGGAATTTTGAGATGGGCAGAAACAGAAACCCTGCCCGTCACTTTCGTTGTTCATTAATACTTCTTTGGAAAGTTTTTGATTATGTAAGAAAATTTAAATTTATTAATTTAAGTGCTTTCAAATGCATATAAACAAAATGATGAAATCCCTCAGTACAATAAATCAAATACATTTTGCTGATTTGACTGATTTGACTTCCTGAGGTCTAGCATACTCCAACTACTTCAAAAGGATGTGTCCACGTCCAGGAAACTTAATAAATGCCATGCCTTATATATTCGTTCGTTCTTGGTTTACATTAATTAAAGCAATTTATCCTTTTCCATTTCCGAAACTCCTAATGTTTCTCTTCGGTGCTAAATATGCGAGAGGTGAGTTGGAAAAGATTTAATACCCTTTCACTGAACATTATTTATGTAAACACTAATATTTAAAATTAAATGTAGTAAAATATGGAGTGAAGCGTAGACGGATAAGGTCACATACACGTTGATAATACAAATTTCAAGACTTATTTGGAAATTACTTTTCTTGAGTTAAAGAGAGTTCTTCCTAAAATTTAACTTGAGTTGACCTCATATAATAAGCAGTCTAATTAATTAAACCCAAAATTTCTAACTTTAATTCTTTAAGGTATTTATTCAAAATCAGCAAATGGACTTGACGAGAAAGAAAACTGACAGACTGCTGCAAACATAGGAGAAGAGAACCTAGCTCATAAAATTTACTTCTTTTTTGAGAACTTAAATAAAAGAAATTTGATTTTCCAAATCGAGAGGTTACTGATCTTACTACAATTAATTAGTGAAATTTCAGGAAGAAATAATTTCTTCAAATTAAGGTGAATCTTTTATGATAAAGTTGCGAAAAGCGATTCTTTTGATTCCCTTGTGATCAGTGAAGCTCTTAAGCTTTCTTGAGTAAATACAATAGTAACGGATAAGCTCTTTGTCACATTATGTTTGTCAAAGTGACAATTTTGCAGCTGCAACAATATGTCGTTTACCGCAAACGAGCAGCTGCAGGACGATCCAGGAAGCCACCCTCTTCGAAAAAATTGCAGCAATATTAATAGATTCTCTCTATCCTGTTTTCAGTGTTCTTCTTCCACGCTTCTTTTTCCTGTATCTCTCTTTTAAATCAAATCACTGATAACAACCCCAATGTCCAAAATATTCTCTAGAAATTCTTCATTGTATGTATGACTTAATGTAGGCAAGATTTGAGTCTTTTTGCTTCGGTCAAAAATTTAAGAACTAATCTTTATTAGAGAAGATGAAGAATTCTCCTGAAGTTATGAGATAAATTATATTTAAGTGGCGGTTTACTTGAGGGTCGTTCATCATGCAATATCAAACGGGCTTATGTCTTTCTCTCTCGCTTCTGGTAATTTAAAATGATCGATCAACACTGTTAACTTCCTCTTGAAGTTATAATAACACAAAATTTTCATCTTAGTAGTTTACACAAGGATAAAATCAATGATGATAAAATTTGAATAGTACGCTTATTGTTTGAAAGAGGAACTCTAGTCGCATTACAGAATATATTTAAACATCACTTTTTGCGATGTCGTTTTGATAAAAGATTCTCTGATTTTAGAATGAACTTTAAAAATTACTGTTGTCAATCTTTTCTTTTTTGAAACAAATATTCTTCACAAAAGAAGTACTGGTCGCAGAAAAACTACAAATATGAATGACCGGAATGCAACGGAATTATTAAATTATTTTTCATAGAATAATAAAAAAACAAGTCAAGTATTATCAAAATATTCTCTCTAGTTTTAAATGAAATTAGGATAATAATTCTTATATTGATCAGGTTGTTCATTCAACTAAGTAATTGCAATATAATCTTGAACTGTTCTCTTAGAAAGAAAGGTCTAAAATTTATTTATATGAAAAAAGGTTTTTTTAAGAAGTAAGTATGAGTCTTCACAATTGTATTATGCTTTGATATATAAATGAATAAACAAACTGATTACAATAACATTTCAATTAATTTTAATTAGTACGTTTTAAATTCAGTGCACTTACACTATGTAGTCCTCTTTACAGTATAATTGCCCGCTACGTGAATAACATGTTGAACCGCTAAGCGGAATCTGGCAGGTACGACAGATCAAACAGTTCTCATGCCAGCAATTATCATCTACCTGAAGGCTGCCATTATGAGGACCAAAAAATATACAAATGAATCAAGTCGCTTGAAAATATATGACTAATTGAAATGATAGAATCTAACTTCTACGACTAACCTTTACCATATACTTCTCTTTAATCTCGAAACCACAACCGTTACAAAGAATTTTACCAGAAAGTATACGTGGTACTGCCATCTCATCACAATTCTCTGTAAATAATTACTGCTACCATTCGTCGAGCATAGTTTTATTTGAATGACTTGAAAAAACGGTTGTACCATAGGAAATTAAAAAAAGAAGTTATTAATGAGCCCGCGACATATGGATTTCGAAGAAATTCAACAATCTTTACGAATTCCTAGAAATAATATAAATAAGTAATTTACCGTTATTTGACGGATTGAATGCTTGAACTTTGGGTGAAGCTGTTGATGATTTGCCGTCTAAGTCTACTATGCTGCAAAATGGAAATAATCATCTTGATAAAGTTTCAAATAAAACTATCGATGACTCATTGCCTATTCCCGGTACCCAATACTTAATTAAGCTAAATTGTTGACTTTGGTTAGCATTAAATTGTAGTTTACACGAAGTTTAGGATCTGAAACTTCTGAAAACTGCAACTGAATATTAATAATTTGATTAATTTCTTGATTAATTTTCTATTGATTAATTTCTTATCAATGAAGATATCTTTAACGTTGTTTTTCACATACTTAATGATGCTCATATACAATATTTGAATAATTGAATTATTGAAACAGAATTGAAATTAGAATTCTAATTCTCTTTTGACTGAATGATTACCAACTTAAGGTTTAATCTTAGAAAGTAACCTTTGCATATTCAAGAAGTGATTTTCTGTTGCTATGGGCATTTCTGGTGAGTGATTTCTGGTGATAATGATAACGGCGATTATGATGTTGATGATGACAAGTTAGATTAATGTTAATGCACAAGCATCGAGTATCGTGCTAGGAAACATATCAAGCTAATTTCTGTTTTCCTCTAAATTTATCCTGAATAAGCTCCGCTACCGTATCCGAATATATCGTCAATGTGCACCGCCCTATCCAATCTTTCTTTTTATTGGTTCTGTTGTTAGTCGAGGCTCCATTTCGACTATTTGTCCAACAGTCATGCTTCAAGCCTAGGAAATAAAACACTCATGAAAAAAAAAGGAATGTTTTATCAAAAATTATTGATCACATTGGCAAGTTTTGTCATTCTTTCTTGGATGCTGCTATCATTGTATGACAAATGCTAAAATGTTTGGAAATGGACAATTTGTTTTGTTAAAGTTTTTAAACGGTACAATATTTGAAATGTTGCTGTACTGATGATAAGTAAGTACTAACTGTATCCTGAGAATCGTTCCGTGAGAAAGAAAACGAGAATAAGAGTTTCCGGTTACGCCTGCTTTTATTTATTTTCTTTTCACTTTTTCCGAAAACATTGATTAAAACAATCACTTTAGTACACGTAAGTTAAGACGTGACTGGCTAACAAAATATATTTTATTATATAGAGAGCCAATGAGATGTGTTGCATCATATGAACACTTGTGGTTTTATTTCTTAAAGAGATAAGCACAGAGTGTTCCATATATGTCACGTCATTTTATAGATCAAGTTAACCAAACAGATTACATTAACTGGACGAAACATCACTTTAATTCAAGGCACCACTACGTACTCTTGACTCCTGGGATATGCATTTGCCTCGTGGGTAAGCACTCGTGACATAAAGCACGGGTCTGAATCGATGGACTAAGGCTTTCATTGCTTTTTTGCAAGATCCTTAGGTGTGCAACTGGCAACTCTGATCTGTGGGATGGGGAAAGCTCATCTTCTTATTTCCATTTCATGCACTCATTGCCGGTAATGGTATTCTTTAGTTAGCAGTGTCGGAAGTTGTGTAAAATATTTGTTATTCCTGAATTTGCATTAAATTTCACTGCAGTTCAGATTAGTTTATGAACGCTCCAGCACCGTTCGAGTCGTTCCTCGTATTTGATGGTGAGAAGAAGATAGCTATCGAGAAAGACACTAAAGTACCTAACGCCGCTATATTTACAGTGAACAAAGAAGATCATACGATCGGAAATCTCCTCAAACAGTTCGTTTCTCTTCGATAATTTTCTACAACTAAAAATTGAGTTAAGAATGAATCTGTAGAATGGAAATTTAGATTTATGAAATAAATCACCAAAATTGAGCCTGTTAGTTTGGCTCTCAAAATCTGGCAATACCGTTTGAGTGACGAATTCTTCCAGTCGTGTAGCTCAGCACTTCAAATTTTAATAGACTAGAACTAAATTGTTTTGATTGACGAAATTCACACATGCAGTCAAGTCGAGGAGCAACAAGAAAAGACTGTAATAATCTAGTTATGTTATTATGGATAAGTAGAAACAGTTAGTTTTCTTCCCGAACTTTTTTAGATTTGCTGCAAAAATTTTTCATAAAAGTTATTTCGGTACGTTTTGTAGTCAGTTGTTGAAAGATCCTCAAGTGTTATTCGCTGGTTATAAGTGTCCACATCCGTTGGAGCACAAATTTATCCTGAGAGTGCAAACAACATCGGATACTACTCCAGCGGACGCTCTTACTAGTGCCATCACTGATCTTATGGCTGAACTATCACTATTTGAAGAACGATTCAGAGTAAGTGGATTTGTGCTCTATATTTACTGGATATTTTTAACTTCGTCTTTCGGGCATTGTCAAATTATATAGCTTTTGGCAAGCGTATTTTAGGATTTTTGTTTTTTAAAACAAATTTTAATTTTAAAGGCTGTGATTAAGGTATTTTCTGATTTGATGAAAGAATTGAGTGGAAGCGATTTGTGACTGTTATGGTATATAATTTATTAATTCTAAACTGTTTTTAGTTTACTTAGTATTTTTTCAGGAAGCTATTAAGGAGCGCCGAGAAGCAAACGAATAATTAGCATTACGAGTGTTCGGTTCAGTATTTTTTGTTTTAAAGTCTAAATTCTTACTCATTAGAAGTGATGTTTGTCAGCCATCTGACATCACTTCAGTCGCCATCATCTTCCTCATCATCGTTATTCTGCTCCACTATATTTCGTGTACGTCGAAAGCGAACTGCTGATCCACATGAAGCTTTGGTTATTTCATTAAAACGCCCAAAACAAGTGTCAGATGTAACAGAACCAATCATTTGTTTTCGAGCTTCAACAACTAACTTAAAGGTATTTATTTGAATTCATGCCCGCTTACGTATATTTGAATAAATATGATGAGTCTTTTTTAAGAAGCCTACTCGTTGCATATACCGTAACCATCAAAAAACTACTGAAACTACTTTGAAGAATCAACAGTTAAAATGATTATTCTACTTCTTTATTTTGTGGAAAAGTAACTTGTTAGTGCTTCATTTTTAATATCATTAATATTCATTCTTATATATTTGGATTAGGTCGGATTCGAATGCTGTTAATGCGATATTCTGAAGTAATCGGATTAGAAAGTAGAGATCTGTTATTCCGATTTTCATGGATCATGCCTTACGTCTGTCACGTTCCTTTATTTAGTTTGTAATATAATCCGTAAATACTCGCTTTTTGTTCATTGATACAGCAACTATTTGTAAATTTTAGCCAGAGTTGTTAATGTTAAAGTAATGTGTTTTAGCTGGGGTTCGGTGGTGTTACTCATTCGCAGCATTTTAATATAATCGATGTGGATCCACATCAGAACACTGTGAACACAGTAGGACTACCACCATCCAACACTGATGAAGAAACAGAAGACAGTAAGAGTGACGTTTCATCTAGCAGCTCTCTGGAACTAATGAAAGACTCTGTAGAAGAACCATCGTCTAGCAGCAAGATAAACGGTGAAACGACTATTAAGTCGAGTCAGATAACGTTAAATGGAGAGCCGTTGCTAGTGCTAAGCGGTCAGGATGATGAAGTTAGTTCTGTAAAAGAAATTCAAGACTCTTGACATTAATAGCATGCTTCAGAAGAGTTTTTATGAGTGTTCTTGAATTCAGAACAAATACATGACATGAAGAGGAATTTAATACAAGTCGTTGATAATGAATGCAGTCTTCTGATATAATCCTTTTTTTATTTTGTAGAATCATTTATTAATTTCTTCATGTTTTTTGTAATAAAATCGGCACTTGTGATAATTATAGTAGGATGGATTCAAATTGCTGAAATATTAAAACTCAAGTAACACTATTTACAGGACTTCATTTTTGATTATTATTGGAGCTCCAAGACGGATGGGTGTACGGCTTATCAAATCCGAGATGTAGTATTTTGAAATACTGGCTTTTATTTATTTATTTTATTGATTGCTTGTCACACTTAATCTATAACTGAAACTGAAAAGGATCGGATTTTTCTTTAAAATCTTATAAAACTTATAGGTTCGCTTAGCAAAAGCTGATGATTTACTATGTGATGGTGAAGACACAGAAAGCAGTGCAGGGGATGACGATGAGGATTCGAATGATGAAAACAATTGGCGTAACGATTACCCTGATGAATCCGACGTAAGTTTCATGAGTAAATTTTGCGTGATAAAAAATGATTCAGTAAAGGTAATTTTGTTGGCCGGAGCAGAAAATATCTTATGTCTTCTTTATTTTATGATTATTTTAGCCCTTCCGTAAGCTTGTTTTATTAAACTTTAGTTTGTCTACTATTGTGTAGCGTTTAAAGCCGTCTGTAAAGCAGATAATGTTTTTGGGATATTTGAAGTAGTATTCTGAAGCAGCCTTCTAAAACTTGCGCACTATTGACTTGACATGAGGATTTTTTTACATTATTTTAACAGTATGGCATCTTGACATTTCAGCATACTACTTCTGGTTGTGGTTCAGACGAAGACACAGCATCAGATGGATTTAATGATTGTGAAGATCTAGAAAGACATATTGGTGAAATGGGTTTCGATGATGAAGAGGATAGTGAAGGTGATGGAGATAATTGATGAAGCAGTATTGCATAATTTTTTGTATTTTGTGTGTGTCATTTACTGGACTTTGGTTCCGTTTGAAATTTGTTAAAGCTCATTTCATATATGATACACATGATGCTTTAAAACAACGCTAAAAGTACATGAAATCCCCTTGCTAATTTTTGGGATCGATTTGTTTTTAAAGTTGCTTTTTATTCTGTCAAGTTTGGTAGAGGTAGGGAATGGAAGTACGAATTGTCTTCAGAGCGTACCTTCGGAAATTTAAGTAAATCCTTGAGAAAAGCACTATTTACTTGTTTGTTCTTTCGTTTCTTCATTTTTATTGTAAATTTGATTTCTCTTTGATTTTCTCGCTTAGGAAGAGTTTTCTATTCTAATTTTGCATATTCTGACGTCTTGGTAATCAGGAAGGAGTGAATTCACATTAAAGTAAATCAAATGTATTTAATGGACCAGTCAAATGAGTCTTGTTTCAAAAACGTGAAATCCTATGGAGTGATTTTAAAAAACGTTCACAATATTATTATTCTAACACATAAGAGTGGGAAGTCATATAATCATGTGACTTTAGTTTGGTTTGTCTCAGTGAAAGAATGCACTGTGAGAATATGGTAATCTTACTGTCGAAGATAATTCAAAGAGACAATACTTTAGGAAACTGAGAATGGGAAATGATTCTATAGCCTTGAATTGGTAAGAATTTGTTGCAAAGTAACGTTTATTTTAGAGAGGATTTCAAAAATATGAACCGTCCTCCAAACGTGACGATGGTCGTACCATATTTTTGACATTGTTAGACGTTGACCATAAATGATAGAGAACTTTTGATCACCTGTTTGCATCGTTATTAAGTTAAAAGAGGAAATCCATCAAATCAGGTCTTACACATCTCTTTATGAAGCGAAAGGAGAAGATAATATCTGACAACTTGATATATAGACAGAAAGAGGCTGTTGAGGGACAGCAGTGTGAAAACGTTGCATAAAACACTGCTGAGATTATTTCGTCACACTTGCACTTCTCTATTGCGGTTACACCTGTTTCAATAAATTATGGTTTAAAGCTAGAATACGGTTTTAAAATTAAGGATTTGATCCATGATTTTAACATTAAGGATTTGAAATCCACGCTCTAAGTCGAAAATTATAAAAAGAACAATCAGGGGGAAATTAGTGGTCGCCTCGAAGGAATTTTTCTGCTTATGCCACATGAAGTTTGAAGTAAAGGTGCCACCAGTCAAACTCCTGATCGTTCAAAGAATAACGACAAGATTCATTTTCACTTGCTCGTGAAATATCAAACAACAATAATCTTGCATTTCTTTTATTTGTCACTGCTTAATTTAGTATCCAAAGGAAATGAAATGATCCGCGATCTCACATTCAATATATAATATTTTTTAAGGAAGCATATTCAATGAATTTTTTAGAAAAGCTGAGTATCAGTCTGATACATAATGTGCATGAAATGCTTAAATCCTCCAAACAATCCAGGAAGTTAAAAAACTTAAAAACAGTGATGCAATGGACAACAATTCATTCGTCACCGAAATATTTCATATGCTTAGGGGCATAAGTTAATGAAAAATTGAAGTAGAATTAGAAAATATGTATGCAGATCTGATGGCCAAATAAACGGAAAGTATAAATACAAATAAAGATCATGAAATGACCGAAGAAATTTCCTGATTCCGTTTATGACTAACCTGAACCTATAAACAAAGTAGGCAACACAAATACCGCTTAAAACCTTTATTGAGCAAATACTGTACAACATCCTTCTTGCGAAAATTACATCCAACATTCACGGTGGAAATGTCAGAGTATTATGACTAAGAAAACATAAAAAAAAATTTTATGTAAGAAAAAGGTCAGCGGTCGTGAAAAATCATTTGTATCGTCAACTTAAATTTAAAGATGTATTCCAAAGATTAGAAAGTATGATAAATGCCAACAATCAATAAATAAAAATCATACCACCTTGAATGCGCAACTATTTATTCAGTGAGTCATTCTTTTAAGCTTCATCCTTTTCCTGCGTTTTAGGAGGATGTCGTCTAAATATCGTAGAATACACCAAATCATCTCTTTTCCCAGTAGGATTGCCTAATTTAATGGCAAATATCAGAATACCGCACAGACCATTGTCATCTACCAAGTCAAAAGCACTGAACGAAAGCAAGATGTATCACCAAGTTAAGGCAAAGTGGAGTCGCTGCCCGAAGTAGCAGCATCGGTCGCTTGCGCCATTCGGATTCGAGGTGACGGCGCACCAATACGCGATCGCACAGCAGTTTGTGATAAGGCTTTTTCTACTTCCTCATCTTCCTGCAACATATAAAAAAATATCTATCACCCATTAAACGAACACAAACTTAAGCATTTAAAAAATGTACACTAGCAGCCTGCTTCTTGATTTCCATTATCATCTCATCAACTTCCTCCAGTTTTAACACGATTTCGGTCGGTTGTCTTCGCAGCATCTGGAAATAGGCATGTCTTCATATACAGTAATCACTTATCAAATGCAATTCCTGCTCTCTTAGTGACATAAATCGAATATTCAAACTTTAAGAAGAACTATATATATATTTATTTAAAAAGAAGTATAAACATAAATGAAATTCGAGAGATAACAGAAAGTGGCAGAGTTAATGGAAGAATGCATCAACATAGGAGAAACACGAAAAGCTCCACACAAAGTAAAGAGTGATAAATGAGCCAAGAATGCTGTGGAGATGATATTGAGGGTTGAAAATGACACAGCACTAATGCGATCTATCTCTATCACTGTCGCATCTCTGTGACAGTTATAGCAAAAGTCATCCTGGCTACAACCAACAACCCATAACTTCCAGCTACCCACACACTTCAGCTCAGAAACGTAATAAAGCCCGAACGGGTCGCGACTCCATTAGCCAGTGTAATGGTCTGCTTCCCTCGGGCAGCTGATTCTTGTGGGATGGGTTGGTGTGGACTGGAAGGAGCGTTCTTTTAGCTCCGTTATGTTCACTCTATTCTATGAGGACAAATACTGGAAGGGTGAACTAGTGATTATTTACAGAATGACTGAGTTGTTCCGGTCAGCATTTAATTATTTGTCGCAGACGGCATCGGTAAACGTTATCGGTAAATTGGATCATCCCCTTGTGGGTACAAACGTTGAGATTGGCGGATTAAGACTGAAAATTCGTTCTTTAATCGCTGAAGGTTCGTTACTTGACGTTGAATTTCAAACTTTGCTTATGGCAAGAGACCGAATTCGGACTTTGGAGTGGTGGTAACATCTAAGGTTTCAGAAGACGAGCAGGCCAGAGAGACTGCGATTCGTAGGATAAAAGTGTTGCAAACCAGCGATAATCTTTCGAGAGGCGGAGATGTGTCCATGATTGGACCTTTTTATGAGAAAATGAATGTTTAACCTTGCCATATGGATGATATTATCCTTACCAGGAATGTCAATAACCGTTCGGTGTTGGTTATTAAAACAAAATACCTGTGGCTTATTTATGCATTTAAATCTCATATTTATTTTAGGTGGTTATGCATTAGTATTTTCGGCCCAAGATGCACAAGGTAATTGGTTCGCTTTGAAGCGACAACTAGCTGCAGATGGTGAAGCTGTCAAAGCCATCTTAAAGGAAATCGGTTTTTTGCGAGAGGTAATGTTTTTATGACTCTATCCCTCAAATTGCATTACCACTAGTCTCACAAATTACACCAGTTCAAGTTAATTACCTTTGGAACTATTTGCAAAGTGTCAAACCGAGTCTGATTATTTCGTTCTATACATTATATCTTAGGGACTTTTTTCATTTAAACAGAAAGGTAAGATTATTGGCGTCACAGATAAGCGTCAAGTAGGCACTATATAGGAAGTGTTGTAAATTTATGGAGCTCTCACATTCAGTCAGTTTCACCTCGCTGAAATAGTAATTTCAGCTAACTAGTCTTCAATCAGTTTTGCATTTTGTGCAGGCGGCTCAACTAAGTCCACAAGAGAGCGGTCATGGTCGAGCTGAATTTCTTCTTTTGACTGAACTTTGTCCAGGTAATCTTTATTCACTTATTATTTCCTAGTTTTTTATTTTCCAAAATTGTGAAGCTCAGTGTTTTATGTTGCATTTTTTCTGCACGGACAATCTGCATCTCCACAACTCTTCAGCCCTATGGTCATAAGTATTTGCTCTCTAAATGATTCCAATTTTCCTGATATTAATCTAAGTCAAATATAATGCCTTATTCAAATGAAATAACTAACTCCATTTCAGGAAGCGTGATCGAGCTCATCCAAAAAGGTCCATTGTCAATTGGGCAGGTGCTGAAGATTTTTTATGCTGCTTGCAGTGCTATTAAACAAATGCATGCAAGAAAACCATCCATAACACATAGAGATATGAAGGTTTTTTTTTGCAGACATTTCTCTTATAGTGCATTTCAAGAGTCGTTTTACATTTTGTTTTGATGTAGTTTTCAATAGATAAATAATAAATAAATGGTAGTAGATAGTAGTTTTTAATAAATGAATAGTAATAGGGAAATAACAGGATTATATTTATCATTTTCAGAGTTTTGCTGTTAGGAATAGGATGGTTTGTTGTTTTTATTCACAAAAAAATATTGTTTGTATTTGCAAGAACGGTGTTTGTTCAGGATATTGTATGTTATAAGAAATATTAACTGTTCAGTTCAGATTGAAAATTTGCTTATTGATGCATATGGTTATGTGAAACTATGTGACTTCGGAAGTGCAACAACAGAAGTTGTAACACCAGATGAAACATGGTCTGCTTTACAACGAGCAAAGCTCGAAGAGGAGGTTGTATTTTCAAGTTTTTATTGAATTATTTATATGGTTTTTTGTGATGTGGTTTTATAAGTTTTTGTGGTTATATAATACTTATATGCTTTTTCCTAAAAAATAGCTAAAAAACTATTCCATATTCGAGAGAGCTTTTAAATTTTCTTCAAATTTCGGAACATTTAGTTAGCTCGGCACACGACTCCAATGTA